ACGGCATTTTTAACTCTGCATGTGAGGTTTGCCTCATTTAACAGAATGTATATACGAACCAGGCTTCGGAATCGACTAGTCAATTCAAGTTACGCTGTTGCGAATTCCAAACTGAATCCATAAATGATTGTTGCTATCCAACAGCAGCGTGGATTTCTGAAACGTCAAGGCAAGGATACGCATTGGGTTTTCTATTTTGATAACCAATGAGCACTAGATAGTGATAACAGCGCATTTGAAGACAAGGAACCATCACTTCAAAATCGATTAACTTTAGCCGTGGAGAAATGCCATCGTAACGTGCGCAAGTGTATTTACTTGCAATTATTTACAAATCATACCAGGTCTATTATCACAATTATAAGATATAAGCAAAAAATATGCGCACATGACATTAAAACTTACGATATCATCAGATTCGATCAACTACTAAACGCTAGTTGCTGTTAGTGAGATTGACGCACGCACTCATTCGTCGTATTCAAGAGGTTCCACAGATTGGGAGGCGACCACGGCTCGATAACGCGGCGCCATGACCTGTGTCGGAGCGGCCCTCTCCGAGAACATGGATCCGTAAAAGTAGATTGATCCCGGAACTGGACTAGAAACTTGTCGCATGGCCAATCCAAGTGACCTACCATCTGTGGGCTTAAGAACGGTATCGGGCGTTGATGCGTCCAGTATCGGTAGTGCGGTCAGCTCCTGCGGGAAACGAGATTATTTACCGTGACGATTTTTTCCGGTTTTTATGTTGATCGTTTAATAGCGAGTCTTTTATTAAAAAGAAAAAAAGAAATTGGTTAGCTTAGTGTTCGGTAATGTGTTTGGAGTTAAGATGTGATTCACGAGGTAAGAGGTTAGGATAAGGTTAGGTTATGCAGGCCCAGTGCGAGAAATTAATGCGAGTCCGAACTCCCGATTTGACATATGATGAGTCCGTGTGACTCCCTGAAAATTCTGCCATAATTTGGCAGACGTGCTATCGCATGAATTCTTTAAAATAAGCACATGTATGCGATTATTATCTTTAATTTTGAACTTAGGAACTGCGAAACTCCCTCATTTTGCTGCGGACTCCCTCTTTTGAAGGGCAGGGAGTCGTTGGACTCCCTTGTTCAAAAGTTAATTTCTACCCCTGTTATTGGCCTGCAGCGGGGGACACAAGTCAGAATTTACAGAGTAATGGATTGACTGATGAAGCACGATCTGCGGAAAGTGCTTTTTCAGCACATGCAGTCAAAAATCTTACCGTGCTGTTCCAGGTATTTTAGGCTTGTCTCCCACAACCATACTTACACCTGTCAGTCAAGCTTTCCGGCTGATCCTCCAATGATGAATGCTCCGAGGGGCATTCGGAATACCCAGTTTGCGTACCACGGAAACAACTGTAGGTGCTTCCCAGTTTTTGTTTGGGCAGGTTCCGATGTCTTACTACGTTGACGTTGCCTGCCTATGCATCACGAAAAGCACACGGTAATCAATAAATGCAATGAATGTTAAATCATGTTTTGGAAAATGACAGGGTTTCTTCTGAGGCGAAGAAATTAGACAACGGCGGTAATAGGCCAGTTTGGGGAAAAAACGGTATGATGGATTTCAAACCTGACAAAGGCCGTGCAGTAGGCCCACGAAATATGGATACTGCAGCAGACGCGGGGGAGAGTAGAGTGGGTTCTGGGTTCCCCAGCATAAATTATAAAAAAATTTGAATGTTCTTAGACTGCATTTGATGCACCCCGAAATTTTTTTTTGCCTTTTAGTTTTAATCTTAGTCTGTGTAGAGACCTACCAAGTTCTCACGCTGCGCATTTCGCGGAGACCTTCACGCATCTGGACCATTCTCCCGCGCTCCCGATGTCCTACGCATTTCTCACTTCATGAAAAAAAAAATAAAAAAAAAAGCTGCCGCGACAACCTGTTACTCACGTCCGTGGCTGCTGCACATCGTTGCTCGTGCCTTGCTTGGCTGGAGCGGCATTGATTGAAAGTACGGGGGGGCGCGGGCGGCAATTGCAGACTGATTGTTACATCGCGTGGGTAGTGGGTATTGACTGTATTATGTAGGGGTGGGCACTGGCTGGTATGAGGGAGTGACAGGAAACTTCGGAATCGAGGAAAAAGCTGCAATCGGAATGAACAGGAGTGGCTGCCGGCCACGAAAAAGAAACGTTGCTGTGAATTTTATTTACGTTATTTTCCATGTATATAGTACAGAAGCACGTGGCTGCATCTAGCTATTTATTTTTAGATTGACATCTATTTGACAACCCACGGCCGGGTAAATATCAGGAACATTTTCACAACTGCCAACGGCGTTGTTTTGAAATTGACTTCGGCGGTGCACCGCATGCCTCTTATGTAGAAAATAAACCCTCGAATAAAATACATTGTAGCAGCAGTAGATAGGGCCTATAGCTAGGTGCAAACACGCACTGCGCGCACAACGCACGATGGCACACGTGCACATAACGCACGATCACACACACGCACGCTGCACTTACAGCACACACGCACACGTGGCGCAGGCGTCGGGAGCCGTTACGGTTGGTACGGGATTGACCGTTACATTTTTCAGCCCAAAAAAAAATGAAGAAAGAATGAAGAGATGGAGAGGCGAGAAGAAAAGAGAAAGAGAAAAGGAGAGAGAAGAGAGAGGAAAAGAAAAGAGAAGAGAAAAGACCAGAGAGAAGGGGAGGCGGGTGATAAATTCATGATCAGTTAGGCTGATCGTAGCGCTTATTCACCAGCCTGTAATGAAGAACACGCACATCGAAGCTGACTTGCCTTTTTTCCATTATTAATGAACGCATTATCACATAAACGAAAAACGCATATATGCCACAAAAACTTTTTCATCAATCGCAAAGTGCTTAAAAATTATTAATCATCAAGAAAGTGCAAAATTAAGCTCGCACCTGACGTGAAAACTCCTATTTATAGGTCTCAGGGTTAGCAGCTTGACCTCAATTTTCTATTGGAATGAAGATAATTTGCCTTTTTCTGCAGTACCAATGAAAGGATAAAAAAAAATCACTTTAAAGTTGTGCTAAATTTGCATGATTTGCACCCCCCAATTCAAAAAATTCTTACCGAGGGAGGGGGATACCCCTCCACACCACTCCCCGCTTGATCGCTCACGTCCCTCGCAGTCGTTTCCTGTCCCGGGCAATCAAATTTTCTAAAGATCTGGTCACCCTTTTCTGGCCCCTTCGAACCCGCTCTCGGTTTCACCCCCAGACCGCCACTGAAACCTACCACTTTAAAATTCCTTCCGACGGGCCTGATATATAGTGTCCACTAGCGACTTGGAATCGAGTGGATGGCATTATATTTGGAAAAAACTCTGCTGATTATGGCGAATTTTTTTCGTAAGGTCATGGGCCGAAACTATGGGGGAAAACAAAAAAAAAAAAAAAGGGGATTCGCAGTGTGATACCTTAACTCGGGTGTGTAAATAAAGCTATTATTGTCCGTATTTACAGCATTGGAAATTACTTTTGAATTCTGGAAATAAGAATTTCTTGCCAGATTACAGGCGTCACTACTCTTTTCGTTGCTGTAATTTTATATACAAGCCTTATAGATGAGAAGAATTTTATGAAATGTAGCAGGAAGAAAGTTCTGAGCTTTTCAAAAAGCTATGCCGATTGACTATTTTGCTTATAATAATCTAGCGTGGTGTCCTTACACCTGCTATAAGACATTGCTTTACACCATGAATTTAGAATCCACTTTTTGCTAACCAGCGCGCGACATGTAACAATCCGCGCTCAAACTCTTTGTAGTAACTACGTACGGTTTTGTATGCGGGCTGCAATATATGCAGCTTCCTAATAAACAGCCGAGCGACTGCTAACATCCGGCCTCAACACTCCGCGTATGTTAAACTACGAAACGGTTTTATGCGGGCTGCAATATAGCTATCCCTTTATAACACGCGCGCGACTGCTGAGACTTCCGGCCTCAAACCCGCGTATGTAACTACGAACCGGTTTTTATGCGGGCTGCATTATAGCAGCCCTGATAACAGCGAGCGACTGCTAACTTCCGGCTCAAACTCCGCGTATTTAAACTACGAACCGGTTTTTATGCGGGCTGCATTATAGCAGCCCTGATAACAGCGAGCGACTGCTAACTTCCGGCTCAAACTCCTCGTATGTAAACTACGAACCGGTTTTTATGCGGGCTGCAATATAGCAGCCCTGATATAACCGCGAGCGACTGCTAACTTCCGGCTCAAACTCTTCGTATGTAAACTACGAACCGGTTTTTATGCGGGCTGCATAATAGCAGCCCTGATAACCGCGAGCGACTGCTAACTACCGGCTCAAACTCTTCGTATGTAAACTACGAACCGGTTTTTATGCGGGCTGCATTATAGCAGCCCTGATAACAGCGAGCGACTGCTAACTTCCGGCTCAAACTCCGCGTATGTAAACTACGAACCGGTTTTTATGCGGGCTGCATTATAGCAGCCCTCATAACGACGACTGCCAAGTCAAACAGACTATTTCCTTGCACCATGCAGTCACAAGACCAACGTTAAAAATGCTTGCTGTGGAAACGATAAACAGCGTGCGACTGCTAAGTTTGGGAATAGATTAAGGTCGTGATAGAATTGTTGATTAATGATATACGTTATAACATTTAAAGCTGCCTATTAAAGCCGCATGCCAGTATAATCAAATAGATAGATATTGTTACACTAGTTTATTGTAAAAATCTAATTTGTTAACAGACTATATTTCCTTGCATCAGTTACCAAAATCAACGTTAAACACCCTTGAATATACCAATGTAGTAAAAGTTAATATTCGCCTAAAAGTTTAAATCATAGCTCATGTATTACACACTTGAGACACGGTTAGTAGTCCGTTACATGTAAATAATTATTACTGTACGTGTGGCTTATTCAGAAAAACTAATACGTGTACAGGTTGAATTAAATCACAGCTTATTAGCAATACCGATAATAATGTTTTTATTATCTAAACACTTGAAATGCAATGCATTACTAGTCCAAGTATAACCTTCATAAGACAGAGATATTTTTGTTTGCAAACGTTTAAAAAGGACTACTTTTATGCACTATTTACACAATGAGCGACATACACAAAAACATGAAATTACAGTAAACTATTTATATACAACTTTTTATATACAAAATCACTGTTAAACATATATCAAAGTTTTTTTCTGTTTAATGTTAAAAATGGGTTCCAAATAGGCAAAATTAGCGTGACTACAATTTTTTCCCAAAACAGCATTTACAAGTTACACTGTAGGCGTATTAGTCTCCTCTTGATGGCTTCGACCTGCTTTATATCGTTTTCTACTGCAACACAATTTCTCTTCAATCTCATAGCCGCTGTTATCCCCGTACCTGTAAAAATATATTTCACTATTTATTAAAGGATGTTTTTTTCTGAAAAATTTATTGTAACATTGCACTCTTAAAACCAAATTTTTATTAATTGGGAATTGAGATTTCATATTATCGTCTTTTAAAAGAAGTATCATGCATAAGTACGTAAACGAAAGCCAAATGATAATTTAATCTTGTATTAGACAAAATGACTTCGTTTCTTCCTTTCCTTCTTTATGACATATTATATGGTGAGCAATGTACTTATATACCTGTCCCAGAGCAAGCATCGATCACGGTGTCGTTCTCATGACTATACGCTTCTATTATTGCTGCATAAAGGTTTTCTGGTCTCTGTTCTGCGTTGACAATGTCTCCGTCTTCGTCTCTCTCTGGTCTCTCTACCATGTCTGCTAGGAAGACATTTCCATGGGGCTGAACAAGGTTTTGTATCTTGTATCTTGTATCTTGGCGCCCTCACTTGTATTTCACAAGGCACCCGAATCAACGAGTGCGGGGATTATCTAGAAAACAAAAGGGTAAACGTCGCCTCTAATTTTCTAAATGTTAGTTTCACGAATCGCCAGAATTTTCCTTACATATTCTAATGCTGGTTTTAATATTGCATGGCTGTCCCTTTTCCAGTTATCTATTTGTTGTCCCTCCTTATATATTTTATAACTATCACAATTATATAAATGTTCCATATCTTCTTTCATATCCTTATTACATCTATTACACTTATCATTGCTAAAATTATTTTTAAAGTATCCTTTCAGATCAATCATGCATGTTTTGCATTTAAATGCAAAACACGAATCGGTAAATGATAATTCTTTCATATATTCCTTTAATCCGTATGTTTCAATGTTTATCATGTTCATTTTTGTTTTGCCTCTAGTTTTCAATTTGTCTCTTTTAATTACTCGTTTTAGTATGGCATCTTTGACTTGTTTTTTCCAGGCTCTTTTTGGTTTTAATCCTATGGCTGTAAATGAGATTTCTAGTTCGTACTCCTCTAGGATTATTAATATTTCATTTGCCCAGTTTCTTCCTTCCTCTTTGATCTGCTGAATAAATACTTTCTTCATTAATCTATTGTTGTCTAACTTGATTATGTATTGAAGTAGCATAAGTTTTTTGTATGCTATTTTATCAGTTATTGGTAAAATTCCCAATTGCTGCACCTCTAAAATTTCCAAGGTTGCTTCACCTCTCCTGCTTTCCTGTATGCCACTGGCCAACCACTATATGCTGGAGCATATTCCTGAGGCTTTGATTTCCTTAAAATAAAATAATATAGCAATTAAATTTCTATTGTTTGTATTCGGGGTTAGTTTTGTTACTGTCGGTTTTGCTCTACACAATGAACAAATCATAGAATTTGTTATGGACTACCTAAAGAGCTGGTTCAAAGCTGTTTTATAGCTGCTGCTATCTATATTTTGTTATTAACACAACTTTAATTGCACCTTGCCGAATCGTTGCAATCAATTGTATAAACCGTTATATTGACACAGAGGATGACTTTGCTAAAAGGTACGTGTTAGCAGAAAAATTGTTCATATATATATATATATATCTCATACAAAAAAATTCTTCTTTGCTTTAAAGTAGATTTCAATATCGATAGCTTTATAACATGTTTTGCTGTCAGAACATCTCACCTTTTACTGGCCGTCTGCTGTAATATACGTATGCGATCTCTGTCGCAAATCCATCTTCCTCCAGCATTTTGATGACCTCCTTATGAGCCGATTGGCATAAGACCGGCAATCCCGTTACACTAGTAGTTGTTGCAGGTGCGAGAATGACCCGAATCGGCTGCGTCAGCAGCCTGGTAATGATCGCTGTTTAAACAATGCTTTCAAAACTTGACTGAATAGATTGTGCCTGTGATGCTACATAGACCCGTAAATAGCGGGGCGAAACTGGCCGTCAAACAATAGATCTAAAACTGCAGGGTTATTTACTGGTTATAGCCATTATTGTAACTGGAATGCGCATGAACACATAACGGTCAGAACTGCTGACTATTCTAGCGTATAATGATCAGCTTTCTCTCAATTTTATGAATCTTCAATTACGTTAACTCATCAACATGCTTGAGGAGGGTAAGAAATGACACACCACTAGTCACCGTAATTCATGGAAATGTTGGCAAGGGAAAATGCAGAAGGAAAACAACAGAAGCAAATGCGTGGATGGCAGAAACTTTTAAAAGGATGGGTGATTACATGCCAAATGATGATACTATTTATCTGCCCTACTGCTATACAAAACTGAGCTTGTGGAAGCAGTACAAAGATGAGATGGAACAGAAGAATATCAAGGACCACATCTCATATGAATATATGATAGAGATATGGAAAAAAGACTTTCCCCAGTATAAGATTGGCAAGGTAATCAAAACTTTGTAGTCTTTCTAAGCTGATCTAAAGCTGATACCAAATTATGGTCAAAGTTTATGGTATGTTGATAGCTTTGTGTTACGGTATTCAATGTGATCGATTAATCTACAATCTGATCATAGTCTTTTTGTTTCAATGTCTATTTATTTCAGCCATTCAACTCTTCTGCGTGTACTGCAATTGACCTGTGCTGCAGTTGAAGGGTTTGCACTCACTTAAGAGTCTGCCCCACAACGCAACGAGAGCAAGCAATTGGTAACAGTAATAGCATGGTGGGTCAACACAAGCTTCTAGTTGAGGTATGTAACATATCAAACGTTGACTAGCTGGACCTTGACGCTCACTTCGCCCACCCATCGGATTGCCTAGAGATACCGGTACGATGTACGATCTACTGGAAAGTTACGCGTGGGATGTGCGGGCGCGCGCTGCCCTTGCGTGTGCGCCGTCCCACCCGCGGTGGTCTGGGCGGTAGTCATACCGATTTATCACGTAAAGGCACGATTTGCTTTTGAGTCAGTTTGTTTTTGAGTCAAAACCTGCAAACAGTAAATAGTTATATCACTGCTGCACTGAAAACTGTGGTGCCAGCCATAGCCAATTCTACACATGCTTAGAACTGAGGTCATTAGGCAATTTAGATACACTACGCTTATACACACTCTGGACTGCCATAAATCTAGGGATATCTGGGTGATTAAACTGGGCGCGCGCCAAACTCGTAGCGCCGTACAGATGCAGCANCTCCTCTCTCAGTAGACCGTCGCTTCTCTCTCTCTCTCTCTCATGTCTCTGACTCTCTGCAAGAAGAGTCGATCATCAGTGTCGGTACCGAAGTTGCTAATGAACTCGAGGGGCCGAGCGGCTTGTAGGTGCACTGGCGCTGAGTTAGATCGGATGAAAGTGCCGCGCTTCTCATCACCAATCATTGACTCTCTTCGCTCTCTCCCTTCTCTCGCCTCTCTCATTGAGCACTACTCGAGTAGGGGGGCGAAGGCATAGACGGGAGAGGCTCGCGATTCACGCGGTGGGGCCTCCACTTCAACGGGGCGATAATCGCGCAGCGCGTCGCTCTCTACTCTCTCTCTGTTTTCTCTCTCTCTCAGTCACGCTGTGCACTCTCTCTCTGCTGTTTCTATGCCACGCACGGCGGGAGAAAACACGCACGCCCACGTCAGCGGCTCGTTCTAAACGTCCCGCTCGTCTTTACTTTCATCCCCCTGCGTGCCAACTCTTGTCTCTATTTCTCCGTGACTAAGGGCAGAATCGGCGGCGGACGCACGACATCAAGACACCGATAAAGAACAACACTACAAACACGCGCGACACCCGGGACACATCGAGATGAGATTGTGTTATTGCCAATGCGGCCACTGGGCCCTGTCGATGACGTCACCAGGACGTTCCCTGCGTGAGACGATTGTGATCGTAGGTGAGGGCGGGTGGGTCGAGGTTGTAGCGCCCTCTGAACGCAGCCGGTCCCGGACCTGGCCCGCGAACTTTTACGGTGCATCCGTCCTGTCGTCGTCTGCTGCTAACCGGGCTGCTGGCTGCTGCTGGGCTACTACGCTCAAACTCAGTTGCTGGTGCTACTGAGACTGCGCTGCCGTGCGTACTGCTTACTTGTGGCGGTGCTGCGAAGCCGCTGCTGCACTGCAGCTGCTGGCTTCGTCACAGAAGCTCGGCTGAGAGCTGCTGTGCCATCAAGCTCACCCTGCTGCACTATATGATATAGGCAACCACGATGTGTCTCTGCACGGCCTAAACGCGCAGCGCGGGTGAGGGGAGTATGGGCAGAAATACCTGGGAAGGCGGCGGGGATATAGCGCCCGGGGTGGGGGTAACGGACACGAGCACTGAGAAAAAAGTCGGTGGTAAGGGCGGTGTGAGAGGCGGAAATGGGGGCGAGTAAAGGTAATGCGTGTGCGGAAGAATGAGTGAGACCGAGCGAGATCTGGAGGTACGAGGCCGAATCTGCGGTTCTTAGCTGGCTGAGCGAGGGGGGCAGGCTGAGCAGGCACCGGCCAGCAATTGTGAGCCGGACGGGGTAATCCGCGACTGGTGTGAGATTAGTGGACTGAAAGTAACCCAATCGTGCTACCCAGCGTCTACTATAACAGCTCCTCATTCAGGCGTCTCCGAAGGAATAGCTGGGCAGCGTGAGCGCGAGTTTGGCCGCGAAACGTTGCGCGGCCAACGGGCGGAGATAGCATTCTTTATAGGTGTTGAAAGTTGATAAATGTATCATCTAGAAAGTAATACGCTTATCAAGACACGGGCACGCACGTAAATAGCGGCATCCTGTATGTAGAATTATTATGTTACCGGTAGCGTGGACATCTAAGTAGCGAATGATCGTGAGGAATGGTTTAGATGCCTTGTTAGAGTGCCGGCCTGTATATCATGATGAACTATGTAATAGCTGCATCCCTGTGTAGAATGGTATCCAGGGTTTGTGAGAATTCTCAGGATGTTAGCCGTAGTAACTCCATTGAATAAATGTTAAGCTTAATTTCTCGTTTAAAATTTGCATTACATATATAGCAACGCAGGGCGAGTGTGAGTCGCCTTTGGAAAAGAATATGTACGATGTCCATTGCATAAATGTTACGCTTCATTTCTCGGTTAAAATTTGCATTATATAGCAACCCAATGCGAATGTGGGCCGTAACTTTGACGTATCGGCTTTGACTTAACGCAGGCGGTGTTACAAGTAAGGGTCGAGTACTGGCGCGGCGGTGGTGGCTGTGGTGGCTGGTTACGCCGGCAGCGAGTTTTGTTTTCCTACACGTTAAATCCATTGCAGAGTTTTGGGCTCCTCTGATTGGCTGCTTTGATTTGCATGCATGTTGTAGGAAGCGGGTATCCCGCGTTACAGTAAGCGCGGTATAAATAATGTACGCCCGCCCTAGATCGAATCATGCGCCCACACGTGAATAATTCATTCTTAAT